TATATATATATACATACATACATACATAGATAGTTCCACATAGATAATTTTTTTTGCATACTTGTTAAATTTTTAAAGGATTTTAGTGTATTTTACTGTAAGCAGTCATACAATTAACATATTTCACTGCAGCGAGGTAATCAAAGATTTTGATATGGGCCTTAAGCGGCTTTCCCAAAATCCCGATTGATATCCAACGCCAAGTTTCATATTATTATTTTTTTTTTCTGAAATATCATTTGTATCTCTCTTTCATTTTATTGAAATATATGGGTCCAGATTCATATGGGTCCATTGAAATATATGGGTCCAGATTCATGAGCACCGCTGTCCCGACGTTCTTTTTTTTTTTCCCTATGAAATAACTTTGTATCTTTCTTTCATTTTCCTTTAACTAATACTTTTTTATTTATTTATTTTGGAAAATGTGAGGGTTTCATCCTAAACTTCAAAGCAAGTTCCGAAAAACTTCGAACAGGCGTTCTATCAGTACTGCCACGTCTGCCTGGGGCTGGTAACCCCGGTTAAGCCTTAACCAGTGTACTGTAGGCACTTAGCTTATAAAATGTTCCAGCTCGCCCTCCCTCTCCTCCTACAGTTCGAACGCCAGCAATACTTTTTGCGCCGTCGAAGTCTTTGATTCGATGGACAGCCGCTGGTCCATCTGTGTTTCTCTCCTATCTTTCATCTTCTTGCATCTCTTACCATTGAATGCTCGATTGGATCCGATCTTGCGGTTGCCGTCGGAAATCTCCGGCGGACGACTGGAAGCAGGAGGAGATGATTCGGTCGGGACCAGATGGGCCATCCTGATTGCAGGATCGTCGGGCTACGGGAATTACCGACATCAGGTTTTTGACCATCTGTCGCTTTCCCCATTTTGTCACTGTATGGATTCGTAGACTATTTGTTTTCAGTTTTCTAATTGATGATATTTTGTCTACTTTTTTTGGCGAATGCTTTTCAATCAAATTTAGTTTATATTTGAGTTAACTTGATTCAATGAGTATGAATTACATGAAGGGAACTGTTTAGCACTTCTGTGGATACTATTTGGACTTGGGATTCCTGTACGAATTTGCTTTGTATTTGGAGTATCCGCGTTTTTGGATTTATGTAGCGCTTAAAATATCAGCTATTATCGCTACTACGATTATTGATTGGTAAGCGTTTGTTACTATTATATGACATCCGTCGATCCTCGTAAGTGGATTATAATTTTTGGTGCCGCAGATTTAAGTTGAATTTAAATTAAATTTTATCAATAGAAAAAATTTCTCTATTTTTCTCAGGTCTGTCTTAGAACCTGAATTTATTAATTCCAACTTTTGGCAGAATTTAATAAATCATAATTTATAGATTTCTATCGAACCCCTTACAATACAACCCTTTAAATTCAAACAGGTTAATCACTTTAAGGGGTGTTTGGTAGCACAGTTTTAATATGATTTAGGGACAGATTTAGTATAAATCCAGCCAATTATCAAAAAATAAAAAGTTAATTCCACAGCTCTGTGAGGTAAAATTTTTTTCAAGTTTCGTCTGTGAAGTTTAATCTCTTTTTTTTTTTAACGATGTAAATTCAGATTTAATAAATCGGATTGCACAAAGAATTTATTCCACTGTTGCTTAAATTCCATCTACTTTGACAGTTCCATCTCCTTCGCAGGATTTACTGAATTTTTATCAATCTTATTTAACTCAAATCTAAGTGGTAGGTGGAACATGAATTTACGTTAAATAAGATTTAGTTATTTACCAAATCTAGTAAATATGATAAATTCAAATTTATGAAATCCAGTGTGTGACAGAGATGGAGCTCGTGAGCAATGATGAAAAAAATCCATCTTGTAATCGAATTTAGTAAATCCGAATTTATATCGTCAAAGAGACGGAACCCGAGAACAAAAGGATGAAACTCGAGCGAGATGGCATTGGATTTAATTTTTATATTTTTAATGTTAAATTTAAAGTTAAATTCATGGATAAATTTCATTGTTAACATGCCATCAAAGACACACCCTAAGTATGATTTAGTTGAAGGTGATATTGCAGGCACATCTGCAATGGTTCCTATTAAAGATTTCTTTCCGTACTCTTTAACTTTTGGGTAATATTGCTTGGCTCTAAAGGCGCAAAGGCGTTCCGGTAACCGTGCCCTGCATTACTTGGAAATAAGGAGATGGAGAAAAGAAAATACTTTATGGCTTCTTTTGTAGTCATTAGAACCCATGGAAAGCTTGGAAATAAAAAGAGGGTTTGGTTCGAAGTTTGAATGCACTCATGCTTGGAAAAAAAAAAAAAAAAAATTAAATTAAATCTTAGGGATGGTAATTATGTCTGATTCGTTAGATAATTATATTCAGTTTAATTTTCACAAAATTAAAATGGGATATAGTTACACTTCAAGGTTTAGTTTAATTTTATGTATGTATGTGTGTGTGTGTGATAAATAATAGTTTCAATTAATTATTTAAATTATTTTGTAAAATTCCCATTTTGAAACTATTTTTCAAAGCTATTAAATTTTAGTAGATTTACATACATAACACAAATCTTATGCATTTACAAATTTAATGCTAAATTTTAATATATATATATAATGTATCTTTTCTATTTCAATAAAATCACCCCTTGGGCTTTTCAATATATATATATATTAAATTTAATGTTATAATCACATCAAAATATATTCATGTAAAAATAAGATCAATCATATTTTTTGATATGCGTTTAAGATTTAAGTATTATTTGATATGCTTAAGATTTAAGTATTGTATAAATTAATATTAAAATTTAACTTTTAGATATGTAAATACCTAAGAAATATTTGGAATGTTACACCCCAAGTTTGCTCAAAAATCTTTAATCAGTTTAGCCTCTTCTGTTTTTGCGACCACATGTCAACGGTACAAGTAATACTGCTCGGGCAAATTTCGCCTAGGCCCATTCTTCTCCATTTGTGGCACCTAGCTTGTGGGCCGAAGCCAACAAAGAAGGAACAGACTGCACGTGCGAGCCATGCAGTTTCTTCTCTTCCTACGCTATCTTAAGGAGGTCATTAAGGGGCAGTCAACCAAACAAAAGGTGAAATTTTCTAATTATATCTTTGGTTGGTAATAATTTCTTAGTCTTTCTGTTTTGTCCTAAAGAAATGTTGTGGGATTTATGGGCTTTGATTTTGATATCTTCCTTACCTGTTTTACTTTCAAAATCTGTAGTGCTTTGCGGGATTGCTTTTTAAGGAGAAAATATTTCGTCTAGACACCACGCACCCAGACGACCAATCATAGGTGCCCACGTCATAGCATAATATTTTTTGTAGGATAAATAAATAATGAGTTTAAGTGTTTTTGTAGTGATTAAAATATTCTTTAATAATAATATAAATAAACAAATTTATTGGTTATTGATAAAAAATACTACTTCCTTTTCCTAGAGGTTGAATTATTTGTAAAATTAATTATTTTTATCTGTAGCATCTAAAATTATATAGGATCAACCAGCAAGGTTTTTTTTCTTTGTTACTTTTATTGTAAGATTAGAATTATTTATCATAATATTATAATGGTGCTGAATTTCAATATTTATGCAGTATTTCTCATCATTTTATGATTGCTTCCAACATTGTACTTTCAGGACCTGTCCTATATACGAAACCTTCAATATGCAATTAACAACTTGCTAAGGAATTATATATGTTTTTTATTCATGGTGTCATTTCTTTATTGTTTTCCTTACAAACTTAAGAATTCATTCAAGGGTTTGATTAAAACTTGAGAAAAAAATATTGATGTAATTTCTTTTTTTTTTATTCAAAGTAAATATGATAAAATTAAAATAAAGAAAGTTATATACATTATTCAATTTTTAACAAATCTATTTGGATTAAAAAAAACCTATTTTAATTTAAATTCCATCACTGCTGTTACATTTACTCAACAATGATTCCCTTTAAACTGCACTTAGTTTAAAGCCAACAAAACAAAGTTTAGTATTTTCTAGAAAAGACCGTACTTCAGATACTTGGTTTGCTATACTGAGAAAACTTATCTCACCCAGAATATAATGCGTGATGAAGGAAAAACTGAAGTTTTCGAACTGATCACGTTAGAGATGGTTACATATGGTATTCGGACAAATGTATATTTTTTTTCTTTTCTCCCATTTTTCTTGTTTAATGGATATTTTACTCTTTTGAGTTAGGCTCTTAGTTTCATGCCCTATTGATGATATTTTCCTATTTCCTTTTTATATATTTATTTTGATGTGTGTTGCTGTGTTATGGTGAATTTAACCAAGAGTTAGATGACTAACAAGCTAATGAGTTTGATTTTTTTTATTGAACTCAATTGATATATTGTGATTAAATGAATGCATTGTTTGGAAAAAGTTAAGATGCTATTTGGATTTTGGATCTATGTTCTCTATAGTTTTAATTGTGAAAAAATGTGTATTCCTTGATTCTAAGTACTTATATAGCTCTTATTATTTTTGGTATTTTCAAGGAAAAACTTGTGGAATGGTTTATTAGTTGAGGAGAATTTCTTGTTATTATTTGACCCTCATAGAGCTTTTTAAAGTGATTGTCTTTTTTTAATCTTAATTTCCAACTCTTTTTTGCTTCAATTAAGAATTTAAGCTATGAGGTAGTTCTATTTGTCATAAATTTCAACTCTAATATGACAAATGTAAAGTAGCTTTTTAATATTTGATTCACATGAAAATTGATGAGGTGAACAAGTGAACATTCTTTTATAGTTTAGTTTTGTTTGGATTGTACTCAAATATTACGAATATAAAATAGTTTCTTAGTGATTGATTCTCAGAAAAATTGATGAGGTGAAACAAGTTTTCTTCTTTTTATAGTGTCTTTTTTTCCTTACCCTTTATAAAATGAAAAGCAACCAATGTCATCAACTTTGCAATACACGGGTTTGCTTGTCAGTAGCTTACAATGAACCAAACAACTTGGTATTATTTTTGAAAATTACAAATGTAAAATAGCTTTTTAGTATTTGATACATAGAAAAATTGATGAGGTCAAACAAGCTAACATTCTTTTATAATTTAGTTATGTTTGGATCAATGTTTTAAATGACTTGGGCGTTGGGCGGGGTGTTTTAGTTGTTATGGGGTGAGATGCAAGCTCCAAGGCATCGTAAGGGATATAAATATTAAGCGACAAAAAAAAAATTTATTTGTGCAACAACAACAACAACAACAACAACGAAGTCTTAATCCCACTACATGGGGAAAAAAATTAGAAATTATTTGTGCATAATATAATTTTTTTTTTTATGTATTGAAATAACTCATATTCATTTAATTTCAAAACAAGTCTTCTAACATTAGAATCTTGAAGTTATTAGCCAAAATCCACCATAAAAAGTAGAAACTTATAAAAAAAAGTAAGCATGTTTGAATCAAAAAATAAATTTGTGATCAATTGATCTCAATCCTTGAAGGTTATTTTTCTTCAAATTCATTATCAAGATATTCTTCTTCACCAATAGTTGTGTCCAAATCACAAGTAGGGCCTTCATATTCTCTGCATTCTTTGTCCACTTCATTAAAGCGCCATCTTGCTCAATCTCAGGTGCATTCGTAAATTGTTTATCCTTATCATTGCTGTCTAAATTATAAACAAACATAATGATAATAGTAAATATTTAGGATCGTTTTCCTATAAGAAATTAAGAATGTATAATTATTTAAAAGAACAATTAAATATAAATATGAAATTTACTTGTTATTTCATTCATCTTTCTTTTACTAAATGAATATGTTGATAAATATAATTTCTTGTTTAATATTTTCTGATTCTTCATTTGCATTAGTCGTCGGCATATTTCCATGTAAAATTAATATTGATTCAAAATTGCTCTAATTTTTGTCACAACCTAACGAATTGCATGTGAGGCTAAGAAATCAAATAGAAAAATTTGTTGACTCCGGTGTTTTTCCACCAAAACTCATCCACCAATCAACATAAGATCTTAACTTTCTTGAGTACATAGCAATTAAACTCCAAAAGTCTCCTCTTAAGTTATTTCCAATTACATCAACATCAAATATTTGTTTGTCTTCACTCATCCAAGAAGGTTCCTGTAGAACTTGATCTTCTTTCTCGACAATCCCCTTATCATCTCAATCCATGTCATTTATCAATATTGGATTGAATTCTTGTATTTTTCTTATACTTCTCTCCATCAATCTAGAAGCATTCAAATTTCTGTGCTCCAACCTGCTTCTCTTCTTGGTATGAATATAAGATAAAAACATTATCTTTAAGAGGCAATTATAAAAACAAGTAATAGTAATTTTAAGAAAAAAAATAATATTGATACAAAATTGCTCTAATTTTTTTCACAACCTAACGAATTGCATGTGAGGCTAAGAAATCAAATATCAAAATTTGTCAAAATTTGTTAACAAAATTTGTTAACTGAGGTGTTTTTCCACCAAAACTCATCCACCAATCAAGAGAAGATTTTAATTTTCTTTAGTACATAGCAATTCAACTCCAAAAGTCTCCTCTTAAGTTATTATACAAGTTTAGTTGAATATCTGCTCTAAGATTATCTTTATAATTCAATATTCTTTCCATACAGTCAATTAACCCTTATTTTATCTCATCATCATTAAAAAAATTATCCTCAAAACGAAATTGAGGGTTTAAATAATGATCAGTCGCATGTAATGATTTATAAAGTTGGACTTCCCATCTTGCATCATTTTTCTTCTAAGTAACCACATACTTATTTTCATTATGCCCACAATTAAAAACATTTTTTCTTTTGCTAAATCCATTAATTAATATTTTCTTTTGAGACAATCTCTTTTATAACATTTACAAACTGCACAACACTTTTGATACAATAAGCAAGATGACCCTAAAAATGTGGATTAAACAAAATAACAACTCGAGCTTTTATACCATTTGTCTTCTTTGCTCATTAACTAGAATGGCAAGCTTCTATGATGAACAATACCTGAAGTGGTTGTTTTTGTTTATAAATGTTTTGAAGGGTCAAATATGTTATAGCAAACTGTGTGATGACTAGACGAACGAGTTCGCTCTTCTTTATAAAAGATCTCATTAAGCCAAGAACCCGTGTGTGCCCATAAATAAAATTAAGAATTTGTTATGCTTTTGCAAATGTGCTTTCATGAATCTTCAAATTTCTAATATATTCTAACATTAGATTAATACAATATGCTAAATAAGGTGCCCAATTAGTATTTTGTATTTTCTCCATTATCTTTTTACTTGCATTCACATAATTTGATTCATTATCTGTTATAATTTGCACCATATTTTTTCTCTAGTTCTCAATCACGTCATCCAAATAAGTGAGTATTAACTCACCACATTTTATACCATTAAAAGGATCCACAGTTTTAAGAAAAAAGTCTGAGCTAGACTGTTCACAAGAAAATTAATCCAAGTTCAACTTTTTCCATCGGTCCAACTATTTGACATAATCTAGCTGTCTTCTTATGCTCCTCTAACATCTTATTGATTATAGCAACCTCATCTTTAAGTATCCAATTTTTCAATTTGTGCATTGTATTCGGAGTAAAACCAGGTCCAAAGTCAGCAACTGCTTCAAACACATACATATAATATGGGTCATTGACAACATTAAACGCCAATTCGATTGAGTAGCAAAATCTACCAATTGCCTTGCTTCTTACCAGGTCCAATGTGAGCAATTGCTTCAAACACATACATATAATATGGGTCATTGACAACATTAAACGCCAATTCGATTGAGTAGCAAAATCTACCAATTGCCTTGCTTCTTACCAGGTCCAATGTGAGCAATTGCTTCAAACACATACATATAATATGGGTCATTGACAACATTAAACGCCAATCCGGCTGAGTACCAAAATCTATCAATTGCCTTGTTTCTTTTTTTTCAACTTTTTTCTATTTGGAATTTAGAGTAGAATTCCTTGCTTGTGTTGTGATGAAAGAATCTATTGGATCTCTAAATCTAGGTGGCCTCTTGGAGGAGTCAAGTAATAATGCATTTGTAGCATTTCGACATTCACCAACATTTATTGTGCTACTCTAATGTTACTTAATATATTGTGACGTTGTGCTTTTACTTTTGCATCTTCTTATAATATTTTCTTACATCTCTCTTGAACTTCTTTGGGGGTTTTAGTGCATGATTTAATGGTCTTGTGTGTGCCAGCAAGATGTTGCTTCATCTTGTTATTGTTCCACAATACACCTAATTGCGAAACTTACGTCTGAAATATTTTCTATTAGGTATGCTTGTTGAAGATTGTAATGCAAAGTTCTTGTTAGTGTGAGTACTACGGGCCACACAGTCCTTCCATTCTATTACAATTTAATAACTTACCTTATACATTAAAATAAAAAAAAATCAACTTTTAGCAAATTGCAAACAACTAACCTTACACATTAAAATAAACAAAATTAGAACAAATCTAAATCTAGCAAATAACAAACATGAAAAAGAAAATTGCAGTTTATTGCAAACCTGAAAAAATCTAACAAAATTACTATTTACTGTAGCTAGAGTGTTTTCTAGTAAATTTTTAACTGTAGAAAAAATAAATACACGGTTTAATGTAGCTACAGTGAAATTAATATAGCTACAGTAAACTTAGTCTAGCTACAGTGTAAAATAATAAAATCTCCTTACCAAATGAATCGGGCTGAGCTTGCGGGAGAGCGATCCTGGTGCGGGATCGCCTTACTGTTTACTGTAGCTAGAGTATTTTCTAGTAAATTTCTAACAGTAGAAAAAATATAAATCTATGGTTTACTATAGCTACCATGAAATTAATATAGCTACAGTCAACTCACTCTAGCTACAGTGTAAAACAATAAAGATCATAAAATAATAAAATCTCTTTACCAAATGAATCGGGCAGAGCTTGCGGGAAAGCGATCTTGGTGCGGGAAACAAGTAGGAACTACAAGTGAGGGAGACAAGCGTGATCTTCTATTTGCCTGTCAGACAGGAAGAGAAGGGGGGGGGGGGGGGTCGCTTGCTGCGGGAGGGACGAAGCAGAAGCGCCAATGAAGGCGGGATTGCCTCCGTGTGTGGCGAAGCAGACGGTCCTAGGTGCATGACAAAGCAAACGACACGATCGCCTGCTATGGGAGGGGACATTGAATCGACGTGAATTGGGTATGCATGCATAATTACGATTTTTTACCCTTTCTATTCGATTCATAGGTGGGGCGCAAATTGCGCTCTGGACGTTTCTAAGCATACGCACTGTGAGCTTTATGCCCCCCTCATGGGCTTGGGACGAGAGGGCTTACTCTTCGCCCTGAGGCGCGCTCTATTAATGCCTTTTTAAACAGATTTTTGGATTGAACTCAAATATTACGAATATGAAATAGCTTCTTAGTGATTGATTTGATGAGGTAAAACAAGTTGACTTCTTTTTTTAGTATATTTTTTCCTTAGCCTTCATAAAATGAAATGCAATTAATGGCGTCAACTTTGCAATACAAAGGTTTGCTTGACGGCAGCTTACAATGAACCATGTTTGGCTTGGCTTTTAAGGTACAAAAACCGTTAGTACAAATCAAATGTTTTTGCGTGCTTATATATAATCGTATTTCTTAGATATGTTCTGCCTAGTTTTTTCAAGTTTTACATTGGCTATTTCTGAATTATGTCATGTTGGTGTACCAACTCTATATGCAAACTTTCTTATTTTTCATAAATTTTCGGCTGAAGATATTGGCACTCTATCTTGTATCAAGTCAAGAACTTGATATCTTCCTGAAGTGCAACAAATGATATACTGATATATCTATTTAATGATATGTGGAGGACAGTAACTGGTGTAGAGAACGTGGTGAATCATGTATTTCTCCTCTTAGAAGCAAGAGAGCATCTATTTATATCTATCCTTTCTTTTGTTGATATTCTGTTAGGCTGATGTATGCCATGCCTACCAAGTCATGAAAAATGGTGGTCTTCGAGATGAAAATATCGTTGTTTTCATGTACGATGATATTGCATATAATGAGGAAAATCCCAGACAAGGAATTATAATTAACCGTCCTGAGGGGGATGATCTGTATGCTGGAGTTCCCAAGGTTTGAATTTTATGAAACCTGACCATACCATAATTCCTTCTAGTTATTAATCATCTTATTTTTTAATTGGTTACTTGAAATTATCTGCAGGATTATGTAGGAGATAATGTTAATGTTGACAATTTTTTTGCTGTTCTCCTTGGAGATAAAAAGGCTGTATGTGGTGGCAGTGGGAAAGTTGTTGAGAGTGGACCTAATGATCATATATTCATATTTTATTCAGACCATGGTGGCCCAGGAGTTCTGGGTTAGTTTAACTTAATTTGAGCCGCTCCAGGACCTCCATATCCCCAAGAAAGCAATTTTAACTTGATGCTCACTTTCTGTTGTCCTGTTATCAGGCATGCCTACATATCCTTATCTTTATGCGGATGATTTAATCTCTGTTTTAAAGAAAAAGCATGCCTCCAATTCCTACAAAAGCATGGTATTGCTTTGTTATTTATGAAATATGCAGCTGTCATAACATAAAATGTGCATCTGTAATACAAGGTGGTCTTGTTTTTCTTTTTGTAGGTCATCTATATTGAGGCTTGTGAATCTGGGAGTATTTTCGAGGGTCTTCTCCCTGCGGATACAGCTATATATGCAACCACGGCATCTAATGCTGTGGAGAGTAGTTGGGGAACTTATTGTCCTGGAGAGAGTCCTAGTCCGCCTGCAGAGTACTGGACATGCTTGGGAGACCTCTACAGCATATCTTGGATGGAGGACAGGTTCTCAATAAACTTAAAAGAATTGACATACATGCGACCAAATTCTTATGTATTTATATATCTAACATATAAATTTTGCTTTTTACATTTAAAACAACCAATCATTTCGTATCACACAAAAATTACCATCATTTTTAACTTTAAAATAGTGAAATACACATTTTCATGCATGGGTAAGGTGGTTATATGTTATAGGTAAAATTTGTGGTAAATTCACTGGAATCGAGTGGTATGTATGTAAAAATTTACGGTTAGAGGTTACATCCAGAGCATAAGCTACAATACACTAACTTGAGGGCCAACAGTTACATTCTATTTGTATTGTATTAATATGCATAAATCACTTTATCTCTATTGATCTATCTACTCTTTATACCATTAATTAGAGTTAGAGGGTGCATTACGAAAGGGGGTCGAAATTGAGCTTGGTAAACAAGTTTGATCAAGCTCGACTGAAGGCTTCAAATTATAAGTTTTAAAAATTTTCTCATCTTGTTTTAAATTCCTCACGTGCTGGTTTCTTAACTCAACTTTCTCTTGGTTGGACAGCGACATCCATAATCTGAGAACTGAAACTCTGAAGCAGCAGTACGAACTAGTGAGAAAGATTTTTACTATCATCTTTGACACATAAAACTTACTAGTTGAAGCTACTGTACTTTGCTATCTAACATTCGCAGGTAAAAAAAAGGACGTCTGTTGATTACACATATAACCAAGGTTCTCATGTAATGCAATATGGTCAGCTTGGTCTCAACAGCGAAAATGTCTTCCGTTACATTGGCTCTAATCCTACCAATGATAATTCTACTTTCATTGAGGATAACTCTCTCACCTTCACGCAAAGTCATGTGAACCAGCGCGACGCAGACCTCATTTATTACTGGCACAAGGTTAGACTATCTCCCTCTAGTTGTTTTTTACTTATATGGAAAAGAGAATTTGGTTTTTTTCTAATATTAGTTTAGTCCTTCTTGAAATATCATTTAGCTCTGTTTTACCATAGCCCATCCCATGTTAAGTTTGTTTTTTTGCTTGAAGGTGTTATTTCTCTCTCTTATTTTTTATTTTTTTTAATTTCTTGAAACAGTTCCGTAATTCGCCCGAAGGATCTTCGAAAAAACTCGATGCCCGGAAAGAATTGCTTGATATAATGACCCATCGCTTGCACGTAGATAATAGTGTAAAACTCATAGGGAAGCTTCTCTTTGGATTAGAGAAAGGCATCGAAATTCTCAATGCAGTTCGTCCGAGCGGGATGCCATTAGTCGATGACTGGACTTGCCTCAAACTGATGGCAAGTTTCTCGAAATTATATTCAAATTTCTCAAATTTCTTACCTTCGTTTAATCAGCGTATAATTTCGCTCTGTTCAGGTTCGGACTTTTGAAACTCACTGCGGATCTCTGTCTCAGTACGGCATGAAGCACATGCGCTCGCTTGCGAACATCTGTAATGCTGGCATTGAGAAGGAGACGATGGCTAAGGTTTCTGCCGATGTTTGTGACCACATTCCATCCACCCCATGGAGTACCCTCCATAGAGGCTTTAGTGCCTGAAATGGTTTCTACAATGGGAAATGTTCTGCTCTGGCTGGTAGCTATCATCTACAGTTTGTAAATAGAATGTAGCTAGCTGTGGCATGCTTGCTGTTATTGCAATAGATTTTAAGGTTACATCCCCAAATTATTGAAATGGTCGTGTAAAAGGTATAATTTATCATTCCGAGTGCATTGTAGTAGTTATGTTGGGTAATGTAAAGAATATTTGTGCTTCTGAATTATTTATATTTCTATCTGTAATGAAGTTGCTAGCCTTGTAAAACTCAATGGGTTGATCTTGAATGTTGATGGATAACTGATTGATTGTGATGAATCAATTTTTTGGTCAGCCATACGTAATAAAACAATTCTAAAGCGAAACACAATATTTTATATTGTCCTCTGCTTTGTGATGAAAATTTTGGTGCTTACTCTCTTTGAGCGCATAAAATCAACCAATGATTAGTGTGTGATTTATTGTTTGTTTATTTTATTTGTTATCCACGAAATGAAACATATGGTAGTTATAATACCTTTTTTTTTTTTTTTTTTTTAATTTTAAAATAGTTTTAAATTAGTTCATTTCTAAGCATACGCACTGTGAGCTTTATGCCCCCCTCATGGGCTTGGGACGAGAGGGCTTACTCTTCGCCCTGAGGCGCGCTCTATTAATGCCTTTTTAAACAGATTTTTGGATTGAACTCAAATATTACGAATATGAAATAGCTTCTTAGTGATTGATTTGATGAGGTAAAACAAGTTGACTTCTTTTTTTAGTATATTTTTTCCTTAGCCTTCATAAAATGAAATGCAACTAATGTCGTCAACTTTGCAATACAAAGGTTTGCTTGACGGCAGCTTAAAATGAACCAAACAACCTGGTTTCTTTTTGGAATGTTTGGCTTGGCTTTTAAGGTACAAAAACCGTTAGTACAAATCAAATGTTTTTGAGTGCTTATATATAATCGTATTTCTTAGATATGTTCTGCCTAGTTTTTTCAAGTTTTACATTGGCTATTTCTGAATTATGTCATGTTGGTGTACCAACTCCATAAGCAAACTTTCTTATTTTTCATAAATTTTCGACTGAAGATATTGGCACTCTATCTTGTATCAAGTCAAGAACTTGATATCTTCCTGAAGTGCAACAAATGATATACTGATATATCTATTTAATGATATGTGGAGGACAGTAACTGGTGTAGAGAACGTGGTGAATCATGTATTTCTCCTCTTAGAAGCAAGAGAGCATCTATTTATATCTATCCTTTCTTTTGTTGATATTCTGTTAGGCTGATGTATGCCATGCCTACCAAGTCATGAAAAATGGTGGTCTTCGAGATGAAAATATCGTTGTTTTCATGTACGATGATATTGCATATAATGAGGAAAATCCCAGACAAGGAATTATAATTAACCGTCCTGAGGGGGATGATCTGTATGCTGGAGTTCCCAAGGTTTGAATTTTATGAAACCTGACCATACCATAATTCCTTCTAGTTATTAATCATCTTATTTTTTAATTGGTTACTTGAAATTATCTGCAGGATTATGTAGGAGATAATGTTAATGTTGACAATTTTTTTGCTGTTCTCCTTGGAGATAAAAAGGCTGTATGTGGTGGCAGTGGGAAAGTTGTTGAGAGTGGACCTAATGATCATATATTCATATTTTATTCAGACCATGGTGGCCCAGGAGTTCTGGGTTAGTTTAACTTAATTTGAGCCGCTCCAGGACCTCCATATCCCCAAGAAAGCAATTTTAACTTGATGCTCACTTTCTGTTGTCCTGTTATCAGGCATGCCTACATATCCTTATCTTTATGCGGATGATTTAATCTCTGTTTTAAAGAAAAAGCATGCCTCCAATTCCTACAAAAGCATGGTATTGCTTTGTTATTTATGAAATATGCAGCTGTCATAACATAAAATGTGCATCTGTAATACAAGGTGGTCTTGTTTTTCTTTTTGTAGGTCATCTATATTGAGGCTTGTGAATCTGGGAGTATTTTCGAGGGTCTTCTCCCTGCGGATACAGCTATATATGCAACCACGGCATCTAATGCTGTGGAGAGTAGTTGGGGAACTTATTGTCCTGGAGAGAGTCCTAGTCCGCCTGCAGAGTACTGGACATGCTTGGGAGACCTCTACAGCACATCTTGGATGGATGACAGGTTCTCAATAAACTTAAGATAATTGACATACATGCGACCAAATTCTTTTGTATTTATATATGTAACATATAAATTTTGCTTTGTACATTTAAAACAGCCAATCGTTTCGTATCACACAAAAGGTACCATCATTTTTAACTTTAAAATAGTGAAATACACATTTTCATGCATTGGTAAGGTGGTGCTGACCTCATTTTTAATGAGGTCTTAGTCTTCTACTCTTAGAACCTATGATCTAGCTTTGGGAGTTTTTATTGACCATCCTAGCAGACTAGCAATGGAGCCCACCTCCCGTAGAACTTCAAGCCACTTCTTGACTCATTTTTGTGAAGAACTCGCATAAGTGGTTTCAAGCACTCAACTTCTAGTTGCAAGGGCTAAGGACCAACATGTAGAGGGCCCGAAAATGAGTTTCTATAGGATCAAACAGCCTTAGGTGAACTCTTTGTGACTCGATTACTCGCGAACGCTGCAATTCACGCACTCACTGCACTACACACGACTTTGACTTGATTTGACTTGCCCACCAGAGAGTTTATCCGGACGACCCGGATGACGAAACGAACCGCACCGAGACGTTTGGAACGTCGACTTTAGCTAGGAACGACACCCGCATTGTTATGATTTCGCGCGCGAACGACTAGCACAGATATCGATGCATATTTTTTGTTATTTAATGGGGCACGGGTTCGAGCTCAGCTCAAGTTCAATTCGGGCTGGTCTCGGGCTTAGCACAGGCTAAACGATTTCAGATTTCAAATTTTAAATTTCAAATGAATCATTTAATTAGCCTTAATAAAATTTTATTAGGAGCCCTTATATGCCAAATAAAACTACCCTGCATAAGGAAATCATTAATTTCCCTGTCAATGTTGTCCTGTAACAGCTCTTTCTCCAACAGGCTATTTCTTTCTCGCTCACGAAAGCCTCGGCTGGCTGCTTTTCACTCGAACGAAATCCTCCGCTCGCTCCCGCTCGTCTCCTTCCTCGGCAGCGAAAGAAATTCTTGCTCGCTCCTGCTCATCTCCCTCGCTCGATAGGACTTCCTTCCAACGATCCTTTTGCGCCGAAGACCCCCCGCGACATCGAACGAAACCTCCCCTTTCTCACGATAAATCTCGCTCACCGTTCCTTCTCTCGCATCGAAATCGCCCGATCCCGCCTCCCTTTTCTTCGTGCGGAAGAAACTCCGCTCACCTGGCTTCGATTGCACTCGCCTTCCTGTCTACGCCGAAGAAACTCACTCCTCGCCTGCTCGATCCCGCCACCCACGTCGAATCCCCTCGCCTCTCTGCGACTGGATCGAAGCCCTCGATTGAAACGCTTGCTTCGCCTCCGCTGCACCGAAGCCGCTCGACTTCCAGTCTTGCCTCTCCTCTCTGCGTCGAGACCACTCGACCCCACTCCCGTTCGCCTCCGTTGCACCGAAGCCCCGCTCGGCTCAGCTCGTCTCCTGTTCACTGCGTCGCAGCTCGGTTCCTCGACAAATT